AAGGTTTTCCTCAAAAAAGTTTTTTTGTTCTTTTTTTTAGTAAAGAGCGTGTCGCTTGTTCTCATTCCCGGGTTTAAGGGGGGAGTTTATTCAGTATTCCGGCCCATATTTTTTAGCCCATGGCCCCACCCCCCCCGGGGGGCCAAGGGGAGGGGGGGGGGGGGGGGGGGGGGGGTCCTCATAGTCGTGAATGCCGTATTTAGTCGTTAGACCATTGACCTCGCATCTCTACAAAGCCGGGACGGAGCATGCCGGATTTTCACGGGGGGGGGGCGTACTCTTATGTTTTGCATGCCTTAGCGGTTAGACCATTGGCCACGCGTCCTCGAGAGCCGGAGCACCCACAGAACCGATCATTGATGGCCAATCGTTGCTTCCTACTTTGCCAAAGGTGACTCAAAAATGTCTTCCCTAGTCCATCTATCCCATCGATATCACGCGGGAGGGAAAGAAGCTGTCGCTCACCGGCCGTTCGGACGACGCTGCTGCACCCTCCTCCTCTTCCCGTCCACCTCCTTCCTTGCCTTTCATCTTACGGGCTACGCTGGCCGCGCGCATGAGGCGGTCGTCCATGGAGTTGAGCCGTTGCGCCGCCTGGAGGAACGCCTTCTGCTCCTTTTCGATCTGCCGTTCCGCGATTTATGTTTAACGTTTTCGGACAGAAATGAAGCTGTGAAGGTGACAAATACAAGTACACAACACAGTATCGCGCTTTTCGCAGTTGTTCCAACGCAAGAGGCTGTGCACGTGAAAAAAACAAGACAATCACAGTCTGCCGCAGCACGTATGCCTATTAGTTCACCATTTTTCGACCAAAAACAAGCTGTGCACCGGAAAAACGTCGCCACACGCAGTCTGTAGAACCAAGGAACAAAAAATAACCAGAAAGAACGTGCTTCTTGCCTGCTTCTGAATAGGCGGCGGCAGTGACACTCAAAAGCGTTCAGCAAAATCCCTTTGGGCGCTTTTACCTGCGGCCAGAGATAAACCCCCTGCTTCGACAAAAGTCCCTGCACGTGCAAATCCAATCTGTTAAAAAAAACTCACCAGCAGCAGGCCACATAGTCCTAGACTTACCACGACGACATCCGGCTTTCAACCCGAAATACACCAGACAAGCACGATCACATTTTCTCCTACAGCACTCTCTGGCGATCCGGTCAGCATCGATCGCTTGGCAGAAGACTCTACGTGGCGCCTCTGAACTAACCCCCCTCCTCTTGACACGCCAGCCAACCGCCGGCATATTTGGTTTGGCACAGGAAAACGCAAAAATGATGGCACTATCAGCCTCTAGTTCATCCTTGTAAACGTGCAGACTATATTATAGCCTGGGCCGGCGAAGCCCCGGCATATCGCTCCGTCCCGGCATTGTAGGGATGCGAGGTCAACGGTCTAACGACCACGACATGCGACTACATGAGTGCCCGCCTCCCCCCCGCCACCCCCCCCGCAAATCGCTCCGTCCCCGCATTGTAGGGATGCGAGGTCGATGGTCTAACGACTACGGCGTGCGTTTACATGAGTACACCCCCCCCCCTCCTCTTGACACGCACCTCTTCGTTGAGCTTTGCCAGCTCTCCCGCAAGGTATTCTGCTTCCGACATCCCAGAAGCGGACCCGCAGCAGTCGCCAGGGAAGCGTCGATTTCTACGGACGGGGAGGGGCGAAACCAAACATAAGACAAATCGTGGCACGCGGTCAGCCTACGGAAACACGCGGGTCTTATTTTTTTTCTGACACACAACAATTGCATATCTTCCACAGATTTGTAAAGAGTCCGTTTTATGGTGACCGACCTGTGTTTCTACGGTTCCCCGAGCGGCATACGTGTAGCGATATCTCCCCTGTGGGCAACAAACATACGAGTCTTCGTTTTCCGTTCTCTTCACAAGCCGTGCACAACGACACGCAACTTAAGACTACCGCGAAAACAAGCACGGAACGACAGATCCCGCGAAACAACCACGGAACGAGAGATACCGCGAAACAACCACGGAACGAGAGCCATCCTTCCACGAAGAAGACCGCCGGCGACAAAAGCGACGACGCACCTCCCGTCTCAACTCCTCAGGCTCTTGAGGGCGGCGGCGGCCGCGGCAGCGGCCCTTGCAAGAAAAAAAACGGCAACCATCAAGCCAAGCCGCAGCAACATTGGCACAGTTCCTTCTGCAGGATAGCCCCGTGCGTCAAACCCACCCTCCCTCCCCCCTGTATGTACCAACTACAGGCGGAAGCAGCAGCAGTGACATAGTCGGCATGCCCAGCAGACCAGTTTCAACGTTTCTAAGGCGCGAATCAGCCCCCGTCCGCCCTACGTCCATCCTGTTAGGTCTCTTCTCCCTCACTTGTGCTGAACCACTTTTCCGGTCAAGAGCTGGAGGGACCGCGTCTTCTCGAGCCAGTCGGCGACGACCTCCCTCCTCTCCACCTTGGCCTCCAGGTTGGGCATGTTGAGGCACATCACCGCGCTGTGCGGACGGGAAGAAAAGGGGCCGACAAATGAAGGGAGGGGGGGGGGAGGGGTGACTCATAGCCGTGCATGAAGTAGTCGTTAGACCACTGACCTCGCATCCCTACAAAGCCGGGACGGAGCACGCCGGGTTCTCACTGGACTAGGCTGGCATATCGCGGCCGTGGGGGGGGTGCGGGGGTGGCATGCATCCAAGGTAGCTCTTGTAGGTTGCCGTTGTGGAGGAGACGGAACAAGAAACTTATGTCCGCTTTCGATGCACGACTTTTCGGAAGCACCCTTCGTCGACGTTATCTCGGCGGGGTGCGTTTTCGCTCGCGTGACATCAACAGCAGCCGCAGCAGCACTAACAGTCTTACTGCCTTCCTTTCTTCGAGAAGAAACGCGGCACTTCGATGCAACTAGACAGCCAGCAGTTGAGCCAGCCCCCCAAGAGGAGCGCGGGCGCGAGCACCCCCACTGGGCCGGCCGGCTGCTGACGAAAAAGGGAACGAAGAGCTGGCCAGGGGCTGCGCGCGCGCGCGCGCGTGCGACAGGAAGAGCAGGATCCTACGCTCCTCTCGCCTCGGTTGGAATGGTTGCTGGCATGGTGCGGTGCAACAACATGTGATCCTCTCGAGCGAAACCTGGTCCATACAAATCTAAAAGGCACAATTCCTCGAACGCAATGACGTTCACTGGCCAGCGGATAGGCGCCCCCGACGTCGAAATGGAGTACACGCAACCTTTGCACAGCAGGTCTCCTATTTCTTGCCCCCCCATCCCCCCCGGCTACAATGTAACTCCTCTTCCATTGGTTGGCGCTGTTCATATCACAACTACAAGCGGACACAGCAGACTAGAAGGCGCTCGGCCTTCCCTAGCCTCGGCATTTTCAATATTGTAGTCAACCGGAGAACATGGTCGGGCGCTATTTACAAAAAGAGAGAAACACAACAAGCAGGCAAGAAGCACACCTGTGAATGCACCCTGGAAACAGGTCTTCGAAGTACGCTTCTAGAGCCACCGCAGATCGAAGCTCGGCGGGCACGTTCTCCACCTGGGAAAGTCGGCGATTTCAGGCGCGGCGCGTAGACCACAGCAGCGGGCCGGAGTCGTAAAAAACGATGCCGTGTGCGTCAAGATATACATCTACAGCAGTGCCTGTGTTAAAGCTTCGAATACGGCTGCCGTCGTCTACGGTTGACGGGAGGGGGGGTGTCTGAAAACGGGAGAAATTCACCAAGCATCGAAGACAAAAAATATATAGTGAACGAAACGCGGTGCACCCCCCCCCACCCCTCCCTCCCGCCCGTTCACCTCCAACGTATCCCCCCAGGCAACAACCACTGTTTGAGTGCCTAAGACAAAATGCGATGGCGGTTGTACACGTATGCAGTGGGGGGGGGGGGGGGAACAGGCCCCCATGTCCACGCCTCTGTAACAACCGGCAAACGTGCGAAATTCCCAGGTTTGGCAAAAACAAAACTCAAGAATGATGGCACTCTCAGCTTCTGGCTCATCCTTGTGAGATGTAGCCTGGGCCGACGACACCTCGGCATATCATCGCTCCGTCCCGGCGTTGTAGTACAAGGTCAGTGGTCTAATGACTACGGCACGCGTTTACATGAGTACGAGTAACCTCTCACGCACACACACCTTAGTGGTGTACCGGGTTTGCGTGGCGAAGTCCGGATCCCCCTTGGTGAGGAACTCCTGTTTATTGGTAAGAGAGCGCGAGAGATCCCGGGGATTAATTGGGAATGAAGACGAGCAACACGATAAGCATGTATGTAGTCTAAGCACGTCGCAAAGGCGTCATACAAAACGACAGGGCATAAAACACTTTGATCATCATCGTTGCTGGAGAAGCCGAAGAAACACGAGGGGGTGCGTTGTTTCGGCGACCTGTCCCACAGCCACCGGGCAAAACCAAGGCCTAATTTAGGGTGCCGAGACGTAGAGACAGAGACCTCGTGCTTGATTTGTTCGCTGACGACTTCTTGCGACGTATATCTAGACAAGAGGGAGAGAGACAGAGAGGACCCGGGTTCCGAATCATTTACGCAACCTAGAATCTATTGTTTCTGCGTGTACATCAGGGGGGAAGGGGACCATAGATCTCGCGAACTCCTCGACCATGCAGGATAAGCACATCAGTCAGTGATGTGGCAGAAAACAACCTACTAGACAGACTTGCCTCCCGCATCTCTGCAAACGCCTGGTGCTCTCCTCGCAGCACGTACAGAGCGTGCCAGGTGAACAGGTAGGCGAAAACCACTGTCACCCACTGCGTGCATGCAAATGCAGGAGTCGTGTGGTTCGCCGACAGAGGATAGGGGACGGAGAGCGGAGGTCGACGACAGCGGCGGTGGCGGTGGCGGGCAGGAAATCACGTCAACCAGGAGTGCACAACAGAGGCCATCCCATCGGCGCAGGTGGGGGGGTATTGAACGCCTGTACAAAGGGGCAGGCAGGCAACACCGACACACAAAGCGCCAAAGAATCCGCCGCTATCTACCGTCCACCATGCCGGCATATACAGATCACGACAGCAGCAAGTAGAGAAAACAGAACGAGCGTGCCTGTGGGCGTAGCGTTATTTGGGGGGGTGTACTCATAGTCGTGCATGCCGTAGTCGTTAGACCATTGACCTCGCATCCCTACAAAGCCGGGACGGAGCACGCCGGGTTCTCACCGGACCAGGCTCTCACATCACCAAGCGCGAAGCGTTATGGGGGGGGGGGGCGTACTCATTTGTTGCTTGCCGTAGTCATTTGACCATTGACCACGCGTCCCTTTCGAGACGGAGCACCGTTCCTACCCCTACTAGAGACACCACCAACATTTGGGAGCTCTTTACGTTTCTGCCACAAACTCCATAAAAATTTCTTGCACATCTTATCCCCGTCCTCTAGGGCCTCTTGTGCCCACCATCTATCCCCAATTATCGCGATCGTTTTTTCGCTGTTGTCTAATTTACCAAACTTGTCCATGTCACACCCTCTCTGTCTCATTTCCTCCTCGAGATCCTCTCTTTCCTTCCTGTACAACTCACACTCCCCAACTATGTGGGGTCTACTCTCCTCCGATTTGCCACATGGACATGTGTGTCTATCCTCCTCTTCCTCTCTTCTACGGCTGGTATACCTCTTCCTCCGTTCTGGCAAGTCCAGATCGCCTACTCGAAAGGGCAATTTCAGCTTTTTCGCATAGTCCATGGGGCCGTCCAAGTACGTCTTCATCCCTATCCCTTCTTTCAACTTCCCGTATATCTCCAAGTGGTCTTCGCTTCGTACCTTCTTCCGAAGGGTTGCCTCCTCCCTACTTTCTGGCATCTCCTTGACTTTCGTCTTGAACCCCCCGAACCCTTCCGTGTCCAACGTCTCCTCCTCGTCTCCTATCTCCTTCCAAACCTTCTCTACCACCTTGTCCCATCTGATTCCCTTCTTTCCATGGGGGGGGGGGGATATCAACGGTTTGGGCATGTCCAAAAAATAGCATGCCTCTATACCCGCGGCCGTCTTCATGTCTATCATTCTGGTCATCTCGCTGTCTCTCGATACCTCCCCAATCTGCCTCCCAACATCAGCGACAACTTCCCCATGTCAACACGGAGAAGCGCCCCAAGCGAAGAGTGGCGGTAGCTCTACCCGGAGTAGGGACGGTATTCCGCCGTCGCAAACAAAAGGGATGCCTGGTCGATGATCAAACGGCTAAAAGCTAGCAACAAACGGGTACCCCCCCCCCCCCCTCTCCGCTCACCAGAGTGTTGCTGCCCGACGGGACGTTAGCCAGCGTGACGTAGTAGATCGTGTTCACCGCCTCTGAGCCATCCAGGACGTACACGGGCGTCAGCACGAGCATGCCCCAGAAGGACGAGAAGAGACAGATCCGTAGGCAAAGGTAGATGAACCGCAGCAGGCAGTAGGCGTCCATACCTGGGAAGGAAAACAAGCATGCGTCCAGATCAAATTTATTCCAACCTCGGAAGAAGAAGCGTAAGTATAGTGCGATAGCCAGCGAAGCGAGGTAGACACGCCATCTGTAAGAGAAAAGAAAATAACGGCCCTCCTGGCAGCGTGACTACCAGACTGCGAGCTAAACACAACAATTTCCTCGGCGATGCCCTGCACACATGAACGTGTGGTTTTTGTTGCTCTGTAAGACCAGGACGAGACGAGAAACGTCGCAAAAAAAGGCAACAAACTGCAGGGAACGCGTTTCGAGGCGTGAGCAAAAAACGGTGTAGAAACACCAACTTACAACCTCCCCATACAACAGTGGACAAATAAAGCGAGATATACGATCGCTATTCCAGCTGGTGTAGATGCAGCATGGCCAGACGCCGGAAAATAAACGTCATCAAAGACACGAAAGCAAAACATAAAATAGCCGACGACCGCTCGGCTACTGGCGGTGCCTACTTGTATGTCGGGGGAGAGGGAACAGAAAGGGGTGTTCCAACTCGAAAGGGATGCGCCATGCACCAACGCACAGCAGTCAATGTGGCAAAAATACAGAGGATGCTTCCCCCTCGCCGTACAGACAACGCGGACCGCCTTCACGAGGAAGTGAAGTGTTACGTGTGAAATAGAGAGGGGGAGTTGAAAACCTTAACCCTACCCGTAACTCACCCGTGAGCCCTACTAAAACCAAGCTGAAAATATGCTCGCGAAGGCTACTGGACAATGCTCTGTATACATACTTGGTTTCGAGACCACCAGAGATACACGTGCATGCGAGGCGAGCCCCCCCCCCCCCCCCCAAAAAAAAACTGGGGGCCCCAATACACACTGGGGGGACCCCCCATATACTTCGACACCCCCCGGGTTACACCTGCCTGCCAAGGGGAAGGGGTCGGAACCGGGGAGCGTGGCCCCCGTCCCCACCCACCGAAGCGGGCCGTAAACCAGCGCGGGCGGGGCGCGGTGCGGCAGCTTGGCGGGACGAGGCGCGTAGACGCTCCGCTTGTTCCGCTTGATCTCGAACAGCAGCCACAGGCCGAGACCGAGGACCGCGCTCAGGAGGAGCGTGGTCAGGAACTTTAGCAAGGGCGGCGGCGCGTAAGGGGGGGCGGGGGGGGTACTCATGTTTTCCATGCCTCTGCTGTTGTTGGACCATCGACCGCGCGTCCTCGAGAGGACGGAGCATTGTTCCTACACGAGCGATGGCCAATCGTTCCTTCCTACTTTGCCAAAGGTGGTTCAACACCGCGTTTCCTAGCCTATCTATGAGGGGTACAGGACGGTGGTGGGCAGCTGTTCAAGCAACGACTGGGTTGGGGGTCTACTGAATGCTGATCTCGTACATGTTGCTGACCGAGTGCCGCATGCACGAATCCTACAGGAGGTACTTCTACATGCGGGTCCTCGAAAATACAACGCAGGCAAAAGAGGTCATTGTCGTGCCTTGCAGTTGTTGCCTCTCCAAGACCTACAGCAAGCGGTGTGTTGTGATAGGGATCCTTGCAGCAATGCCACTGAATGGTCGTTGGTACGTACAGTAGTGAAACCAGGGGGTTCGGTGTCGTGGGATAAGAGTGGTAGCGTAAAGGGGAGAGAGAGATGGGAAGGAACCTCGGTTCTCGGCGTTAGCAAACGAGGACAAAGCTTCCAAGGGGTAGAGGCGGCAAAAATAATACTTCTAAAAACCTAAAACTCTCGTGTCTTTCTTCCTCCTGTGTGACCCCGGCTGGTGCGTCAAGCACATATGCATACCAAAAGGCCGAGAGTGATGATGCCTGGAGTAGGCGGGACGAGAACACATTTCACCCACCATTCTCGAACGAAAAATGAGTTTGTGTGAGGGTCCGCATCGATCGTTGGATATAACGATACAACAGAGAGGAAGAGCCAGACACAGACAGAGAGACACAATCAAGATTCATTCCACACTATGAAACGGAAAACGACCAAGGAGAGAAAGGGGCGCACTGCTGCAGCAGCCACGACGCTGACGCAGCAAAGGTGTTCACACACCGCGCTCGCCGACCCAAACACAGCACTCCCTTTTTTTTTCTGTCTTCACTTCAAATCAGCGTTCACAGCACTACTGTACTCCAACCCGTCGTCACACAGAAGAGCCCCTCTCTACCCTCCCCTCCTGCGGTACTTTGCCTTCGATTTTTAATGCGAGAAGAGTTCAGCACTCTCATCTACTAGGCTAGGAGCGGAAGCGAGAGAAAAACCCACTTTACAAGAAAAGCTCGCTTACGCCGGGATTCGGACCCCTGACCTGACCTCTAGAAGGTTTGGAGGATGCCAACTAGACCACCGGGGCGACCGGCATATGTAAGACATTGTTGAAAAGAGTGCAAGCAAAGCGGATTTTGTACATACACCTGATCGATCTGTCTGCTGCAGGACATGCCTCATCGTGCCGCCCTTCCCTATTTCCACACACGCAATATAGAAAACTCTGTGCTGAACACGACGTGGGCAACAGCAACACCCCCACGCTCTGATCTCTGCGCCGTTGCGCCCTCTGCGAAGTCGCTCTTCTATGATAGTCTACACCGTAGTTTCTCCGCACGTAGAAGTTGGAACGAGGAGATGGAGGGTGCATGTGACTTCGGAGCGCACTATCTCCACCGAGGCGCGCGTACTCACTTCGCTGAGCCCTTGGCTCGAGATCTCGGTGTTCGCCGTCGTTCCATTTGAGCTAGCACCCACGAGTTCGTTGATGAGCGGGGGCTCTGGCGCTGGCGTAGTCATATCGCTTGTTGGTATCGCGGACGGAGAGGGCGTCATCGACATGTTGCTGTGTTTCGAGCTGGTCAGCACGATGGAGGGGCGAAACAAATCTCACCACAACAGCAAACTTATCTGCTCAACAAGTCAAATAGCCCGCATCTTCGGCACCACGCGTGTGGATTGAACAGCACTGCAATGCTCTGTCTGTTGCTGGTGGGTGTGCTGTGGTGCTGGTGGCTCATCTCGTCGCAGGAGCTCCGTCTGATGAAATATTGGATAGCAACCCCCCTTACTTTTGCTTCCTGTATCGTCATCCGGCCCCCTAAGCTCCGTGTCCCACAGACCAGGGCAGGGCAGGTGGTCATTGACACAGCAGCAGTTGAAGGCTTGCACACTCACAAGTACCATGCCGCCCACACGTGTGTGGGTGAAGCAGGGCTTGGATTCCCACCGGTCCGCTCAGGTGTTGCTGGTCCCTTTGGGGAACATCCCTCCCGATGTTTACGCCAAGTACTGCGAGATCTTGCGGCGATTCAGGTGCGGTTTGTTTTCAAGCAAGATGGCGTGTCTTGGTAACATTTACAGCAGTAGACCCTGCTGGTACTCAACTGCCTCTCCCCTTCCTGAAGGTCCATTGCTGCGTTCTTCGTACTACTACCGTGCTACTACGATCTGGTTCACAACGGTTTTGCAACAATCCTACTACTGCAGACCAGCTTGCATATATTGGGTTGTCTCTGGCACCCGTACACTCACGTGCACCTCAGGAGCTTGCAGCAAGTGCTCGGAAACAGCAACCCAGCCCGTGTGCAGGAAGCTCTACCGTTCAGGAGGGGAAGCTCTACTCTCTCATGCATTCATTACGCACTTCTTCGGCACACGTTGTTGCTGGTGTTCGGGTTTCACCCGCAGAATGTTCTCCGAGGTTTTTTATGTTCTGCGAGCTCTCTCAAAACCTCGGCACACATGTGTGTGCGGGCTACGGGGCGGTACTGTGGTTGTTGAGGACGGTGCACCCAGGCTCTTGCAACGGCTCCCCGGAGAAGCTAGTTAGCACCACAATTACACTTCGTTCGCCGTATTCAGGCAGCGTTCAGTATGCTGTCATGTGCCACTACTGATGTGTGCTACATGGTAGCAGAGCACCGTCATGGTAGGCAACCACCGCCGTGGGGCGGAGATTGGAGATCGGTCCGGGGGGGGTGCTATCTTACGCAACACCTACGGTACCGTTTTTATTTTGGTTCTGTTTTCTGTTGTGGTTTTTCGCGAACCCGCGGAATCAGCAGGGGCGGGCTGGTGGTAGTCCATGACCGAGAACGAGTGCATACTGGAGGTACTCTTGCTTTGGCCGTTACCTTGGCTGCTACCCATATGTACACCCTGCATCCGTCCGCTGCCTTCTAGTCTATCGTACCACCATCCAAGCACCCCGCCCCTCCCCCCGCCGCCGCCGGCTTCAAACGAACTTCAGCACGATCCCCATGCAGAACCTGACGGCACCGGGGGACTGGAACCGTCAGAACAGCGCCCTGAAGCACTTCAACTGGTCGGAGGGCTGCTTCAACTTCCACTTCATCGACCAAGACACCACAGATGGGGGTCTCAGCGACTGGGAAGACTATCAGGGTACGTAGATATGTTCATACTACATTGTATGAAGGGAGATAAGAGACTACTAGGGTGAATATGTGTGGAGGGAGAAAGAGGCTGGATACATATATATGGAGGGAAATAGAGACTATCAGGGTACACATGTACTTGCATGAAAAATAGATGTTGGAGCACATGTGGTCGTCGTTAACATTCGCTTCCTCGTCTACCTACTTGTCTGTCCCACTGAGCAGCTCCGATCCGGGGTTCCACAGTTTCAGGGCAAGGGAAATCAGCGCCTGAGACCCAACCAGCACGCCTATCCAAAGCGATCGGTCGGGTTTCCCGCGCATTGGCACACCCCTTGCATCCTATCGTAGAAAGAAAACGGCTGCGAAGGTCGGTTGCTACCGGCCGTGCAAAGATGGGATAACTCCTCCAAACCCCCTCCTCCCTCGCCACCATCTCACGAAAGCCCAGCCCCCCATGGCATTGACTTGAAGTTCCCCACCCAGCCCTACCCCCGGACCCAAACAAGAAAAACCGAAAAGCCTACCGGCGAGTGCTTGGAGCGATCGGGGTGGTGAACTTCTCGTCGTGCAAGGGGGGGCCACGCGGACTTGAAATAGCTTGACTTCCCCCACCCCCACCCAACCCCCCGTCCCAAACATGAAAAATCGACAAGCTTACCGACGAGTGCTTGGAGCGATCGGGGTGGTGCACCTCCGTTCGTGCGAGGGGAGGGGCACGCAGACTTGAAATAGCTTGACTTCCCCCACTCCCACCCTACCCCCCACCCCAAACATGAAAACCGAAAAGCCTACCGACGAGTGCTTGGAGCGATCGGGGTGGTGCACTTCCCTTCATGCGAGGGGGGCCGTGCGGACTTCAAGGAGCTCGAGAAGCAGTTCAACCAGGTGGTGGCCGGCTACAAGCACGTGCACGCGACGCGGATGTTCGCGTTCGGGCACTCTTTCGAGCAGGGCGACTATCCCGACATCCTCGACCCTCAGCGGGACATCGTTTTCCCCCCGGAGCAAGAGTTCGAGGTGGGGGGGCGTTTTGATCGGCGCCGATGGCTTCGTTTTTGTTTGGTGTTGGAGGTTGGTGGTGGTATGGCGCTTCCCCCCCCCCCGGAGGAGCAAGAGTTGGAGGTGCAGCGGTGGGGGTGTTTGATTGGCGCTGACGGCGTTGTTTGGTGTTGGTGGTGATGGCGTATCCCCCGCTTGGCACAAGAGGTGGGCGTGTTTGACTGGCGCCGACGACGTTTACGCGAGCAAGCACTCCATCAAGGCTGAACCTTTGTGGACAGCGGATCTGTACCATGCATTAGTGATTCCCTCCGTTTTGCTTTCAAGGAGTCCCACTTTTTTTTTTTTTTTCAGTACAGTAGTCTAAGCCAATTGCTCTTTGAGCAAGACGGTTTGTTCTTCCTGGACCTCATTTTTTTTTGTTCTTGTCGTTGTCTCGTTCTGCAAGGGTGGAGGAAGCACGACGGAGCTGCACATGGCCGTTAGCCTGTACGACGTGGCCGTCTCCATCATCAAGAACCTCGCCGCGGACATCAAGACGTGGAGGTCTTCGGCCTCCCCCCCCTCCGCCGCGGGCAGAGCCGTGGCCGTGCTCCGGGGAAACAACGACGCGGCGCCGCCCCTCACGTGAGCACACATATGTTTTTGTGTTGTTTTTGGTGGTGGTGGTGGTGGTGATATTGTTGTTGTTGGTGTTGGTCGTGGTCGTGGTCCCGCCGTACACGAGGCCGTTTGTTTTTGTTGCGAGAAGAATTCGGCGCATTCTTTCCTCGAGGTGCGGCCAGTCCAAACGGCACTAAACGCAGGCACGCGACACATGTGGAGCGAAATGAGAGGGCACGCAAAAGCATTTGTGGATTCTAGATCTGATTTTCCGAAGAGTGCGATGCTGTTCAAGGATTTCGGAGACCAGCTACACACACACACATGACTAACCCAGCTGCTGAGCCAATCTCTATGTACACGAAAACGACAACAACGATAAAAACCGGCTGCGAGGCAACCCACACGAAGACCATGACGACTTCGATTGCAGGTCGTGGTACGAGCGGGAAGAGGTGCTGAGCGACAGCAAGAACGCCAAGCGAAGAGTAGGACGCCTGCACAAGTGGATCGGGGACACCTGCCTCCTTCTCGGCTCGCCTAAGGTCCGTCCGTCCGTTTCGCCCTCCCTCTGTCTTTTTTTATGTAACTCTGGATTTTCCTTGTATTATAGTAGACTACTGTGGAACGTCTACCGGTGTTACCCAACCAGGAAGGTCCATCCGTCTTTTCGCCCCTTTAACTCTGGATTTCCCTTTTCATTGACCCACGTATGTGTGGGTGTGGGCCTTGATGTTGTAGTACGTCATTTCGGGTGGTGCCTAACCACGGCAACTCTTGATGTGCGTGCACACACAACACGCCTGTAGCTGCGCACACGACGCATCGCACCTCTCTTCTTTTTTTTTTACTCTGGAGTTTTTTGCTTTTACTAGCCCACGTGTGTGTGGGTGTGGGCCTTGGGTGTTGTGGTACGTCTACAGGAGTTACCTCACCACGGCAGCTCTTTGACGCGCGTCCATACACACGAGTCGATCGGCCGGTCCGCCGCTGGCGACGAAAACCACGAACGAACATCAATCGCTCTCTCTCTCTCTCTCTTCCAACATTTTCTTCTCTGCTCCTCCGCTCCAAGGACGCCCTGGAGCACTACAGCCAGTCCATGTCCGAGACCAAGGCGTCCACGGACCCCCTCTGGCACGCCGGCTGCCTGGAAGGCTACGCCGCCTGCCTGTCGGCCATGAGCGACGCCGACCACCCCACGGTGCACGGGGACCAGGCGCTGGCCCTGCTGAAGGACATGGCCAAGGACAAGGAGCTGGAGCGGGCCGGTCAGGAGGGATCCTCGACCTGGACCGTGCTCGCGGAAGGTATAGTCTACACATGGAGACCAATCAAAATAGTAATCAATATAGTGTGCGATGGGAGTCGTTGCCACCACCGTGTGGACTTGTAAATATAATTTTTTGAAAACGTGCAACGCGAATTACAAAAACAAAATGCGTAATGTTTTTGTGGAGTTCTTATGTTAGTAAGGCGACGTCTCTTCCACCTGGACCTCGCTCGCGAAAGGTGCAGTACACATGGACACCAATGAGACGAAAAATATAAGGAGTACATGGGAGTGAATTTACAGTTGTGTTGAAGAAAAACTGCAACGTGAACATAAAAACAACAAACGCGATGTAAAGTTACATTTTTTGTAAAACAACAAACGCGGTGTAAAGTTTTTTTTTTTGTAGATTTTTTGTTTTTGAGGAGACGTTTCGTCCGCCTGGACCTTGCGCCAGGAAGGTACACATGGGACCGGTCAGATGGGAAAGAAGAACAATGTGCACTCTTGAGGGGTGTGAGTTAACCTTGCGTTTGACCACTACTGCTGTTGCGATACATACCAATTTTTTTGTTAAGGAAGAGCCCCCCTCCCCCTTCCCCCCCCGCCGCCGCCGCCGCGCGCATGTCCATCCTCATGCTGTGACTACTTCTCCTCAGCTGTGGTGTCAGAAAAATGCGAGGAGGCGTTGGCCGTGTTTAGCCGCCACCCTCCCCTCGGCTCGCTGGAGGTGGAGCTGTGCTTCAAGACGGCGAGGTTCCATGCCTGCGCGCAACCGACCCCGAGGTAGGCCTGTCATGTGTCGTGTGCCATGTGTGTTTGTTTTTCTTCAGCATCGGCCGCGGGAACCGGCTGACCAATGGGAAGACGTCGGCCTTGTACTTTAGCGGGATATAGAAACGCGAACACGCTTTTTATGTGTGCGTTTATTCAACTAGCGTCGGCCGCGCTAACCGGCTGACCAATGGGAAGACACCACTCTTGTAGCGGGATAGAGAAACGCGAACACGATTTGTGTTGTGTCTTTGTGTTGTGCGCGTACTCTTTTTATTATCTCTGACCCCGCTCGCCTGCAGACCAATAAGAATACGTCAGTGCCACAGCGAAAGGTTCAGTACCCTTCGCACGGTTTTTCGTTTTAAGTGAACATGTTGGATAGAATCATACCATCGGGGAAGTTGGGTTAGGGTTAG